GCTGGCACTCGCACCCTTCTTCAATCGATATGGGACCCCCCAATCAACCCCCTTCAAGGCCCAGCGTCCTTGCCAGCACACCGCCTCGTGTTCACCCTCCTTCGGGGCTCAACCTCTTCGTTGGCACATTGCCCGGTGTTTGGTTCTGATACCATTTGTAACCGTCCAAGCCTACCACTAGCAGATATTGTCCTTTTTGGACTTTTCCTTCATGGTTTTCCCTCAACGTTTAAAACATGTCTGGTAGGGAGAGTTTTCCACACTTTTATAAAGAATGCTTCGTTCTCTTCCTCAACCGATGTGGGATCTCGCACAACTCACACAAACAATTCTTGACCTTTTTTAACACAACTTTTTACTAAAAAATACTAAAAATACGTCTAAACAGTGTCACAATCTGCAATACGATTATGCCCCAAGTAAGTCATCGAGGACAATGACTAAGTTAAGTGGGGGAGAATATCACAACCATACTATGAAGAGAGTAGGTTGTAACCCGGGATGCCACTTTGTTTGCCATGACGTGAGGGTCACAACCTACTCTCTTCATAGTATAGTTGTGACAAACAGCACCTTATCACCAAAATGAATGATTCAATACCACTTCGGATAAGCACAGTGCACTGTTCCATTGAGCTGAGCTTGAGCTGCGTTCCACTCTTCTGAAGATTTAAACGGTATATGGGGAGCTGTGTGATGGACCATAGTGAAAGTGCTCATCTAAGCAAAAAACCAAAGGTATTTCTTAGATACACAATTATAAGTAGGTAGCAGTAGCTAAATTGATCACATAGGAAACTTTCATAACAAGAGGCAAGCAAATGATGTTACCCAAAAGTGGTAGCCAAGCCATGGCATTAACCAGAACTTAACCCATCCAATAACCCCAGCCTTGTAGATGATCAATGGCCATCCAATAAACATAAATGCAAAAACGCAAGCTAGGCTTATCTTCACTCTTTTCACTTCATTTGGTCTGAACTTTTTCACATCGAAGTGCCACATCAACCTGTAATGCACAACAGCAGCTTGTTGCATATTAATGAATGAAAGAGATCTTCTTATAAAGTCAAGTTATTCTTTCAAAGGAACCATCCAAGGTAACTTACCAATGAGCTATAGACATCCATGGACGAAGCGGACCATATCCATATACGATTGCTTTACGCAGAAGAGGATCTGAATCAAATTCCTCTTTCCACACAGGATGCCAAGCTGTATCTTCTTTCAGCCTACATATGTGGATAAGAATAGCAATGGAGCTTTAGCTAAAAAAGGATGAAAGGCAGGAATCTTTAGGAGTAATTAACCAGCGAAACTGAAATATTGATTCCTATTTAGTCATATTGTTTAGTGAGACCCCATATTGGTTCGAAAGTGGAACGAAACATTCCTTGTAAGGGTGTAGAAATCTCTCTTTGTTTTAAAACTGTGAGGCTGACAACGATACGTAACAGGCCAAAACGGACAATATCTGCTAACGGTGGGCTTGGGTTGTTACATTTAGTTTTTCAAGCTTATTTAACACAACGATATTTGACTCGAGGCAAAATGCAAAACATATGGAGAAATTCTATTAACTCGATCCTAACGCACATGAGTTGCTGCATGCTTAACAGTGTCAAGATAATAACATGTCATGTGTACAAACCTAGCACTATTCATGTTGTTCTGCTCGATATTACTGATCGAGGCTTTTGCATTGGTTAATGGAATGTTATCCTACTTTAGTAAGACATTTATTTATACTATAGAATGGAACAATATTGAACTATACTTATGCAGGAAGATAGAGCTAAAACAAGGATTTTGAAGAGAGATAGAGAAGGAGAGGAGAGATTAATACTACATGTTTGTCTTTGCATGATGTTGATCATGCTTAAACCGCCAAGGCTCATAAGGGTATATTAGAGGCATAAAAGCCAAAGTACCCACAATGTCTTCCACTAACTTGTTCCTTGAAAATGACTTATGGGCACAATCATGACCTATAACAAAGAACTTGAAGGGGAAAGTAACTTCAGTGGCCTGAGTTGCAAGTCCGACAAGGATGAAAGAAAGAAGCAACCAGAAAGAATATTTGAATAAGACTAACCCCTGTTATTGCAGTTCCAGTCCATGCCCAAGCCAAAGGTAGTAGATACCATGGAGCTTTTGCAATCATGATGAGGCCTAATGCGTAGGAAGCAACAGATACTAAGATAGATTTCCATGCTTTCACGTCATTGATCTCAAAAACCTTTAAAAAAAGAAAAGAATAAGGTAAAATACATGAACATTACCTAACTAGCTAGGCTATGTAAGAACGGAAAATGGTTAGGAACTATGACTCTCCATAATGATATGATATTGTCCACTTTGAACATAAGCTCTCGTGGCTTTACTTTTGGTTTCCCCAAAAGGCCTCGTACCAGTGGAGATGTATTCCTTACTTATAAACCCATGATCATCCCCTTAATTAGCCAACGTGGGGCCTCTCTCCCAACAATCCTCCCCTCGAACAAAATATACCATAGAGTCTCCCCTGAGGCCTATGGAGCTCTCAAACAGCCTCCCCTTAATCGAGGCTCAACTCCTTTCTCTGGAGCCCTCGAACAAAATACACTATAGAGCCTCCCCTGAGGCCTATGGAGCTCTTGAACAGTCTCCCCTTAATTGAGCCTCGACTCCTTTCTCTGGAGCCCTCGAACAAAATACACCCTTTGTTCGACACTTGAGTCACTTTTGACTATACCTTCAAGGCTCACAACTTCTTTGTTCGACATTAGGATTCTATTGACATGGCAAAGTTAAGAGCATGACTCTAATACAATGTTAGGAACCCCGAACCAGTTTCCTCAAAAGACCTCATACCAATGAAGATGTATTCCTTACTTATAAACCCATGATCATCCCCCTAATTCCCTCCCAACAATCCTCAACGTAAACATGATTTTATCTGACAGATGTAAAACACTATTATGTTGCAGCAATTGAAATACCTCTTTTGGAAGGGATTCAATAATATCTTTTAACCTAACATTTTCAGGAAGAGGTTCTCCAATTTTCTCGAATCCATAGCTTTCTGATAATCTTTTTCTATGTTCAGCACTATCTGCTGAAGAAGGCAGTGGTGCAACTGGAATAGCAACAGCCCGTATAATTGCAGCCCTCTTCACAGGAAGCACATAGTTTTGTCGCTTGATTTTCTTCTGAAACATTACTTCCCTCTTCATACCTGTTAGACGATTGAATCTATCAATAATCGAACGGCTCAAAATCCAAAAGGCAGATGCTGAAACATACCAGGAGAATAATGGGAAGCAATTTTCTGAGTTCGAGCTGAATTCTGACGGGGCCCCTGATAATCAAACCAAAACAATAAGAAAGCAAGAACATAAGTACCATAACCAGGAAAGATTACAAAAACGCCATGGCGGGAAACATACAGTAAAAAGAAACACAGAATCCGCAAGTCTACAAGCCATTATAACTGATGAAATTCCAGATAAGAAAGCCCTCTTAGCTTGCTTGAGCTCTTGAATGAGAGACAATGGACGGTGGAAGAGGGGAAAATTCTTAATGGGTATCAATCTCCTCAAGTATGCAACAAATCCTTCCCCTACCGTTCTTTAAGTGATAGGCTTACCATAAAAGGGGTGACCCTCTTCGAGAATCCGCCACTAGTGTGGAAAGCGGCGCTGATATTACTCGATTTCCGTCCCGCAAGAAGTCTACTGTTTGCTTCCATTGTTCATCGACACCCCTGAGGAAAACACGGCATTGCGTACACCTGTTGGTCTCTACCATTCAAATTTGGCATCTATTTATTTCTTCAGTCGTCAAACCTAACCGTCGTGATTAATAAATTTTTAATTAATATAATTATAGTGGAAAAATTATTGATTATTATGTCGCTCAATTATCCGTTATTTTAAGAACTAAAAATAATAGAGATTTATACATTATAAATATATTGATTAATTTAAAAATTAAATTTACTTCCACCAAAGGAAAAACCGGGAAAAAAAAAAAAAACTTAATTGGTTGTAAGTATTAAATTGATATATGGATGTAAACATTAAATTTGTACCCAAAATAAATTATTAATTTAATATAAATTCATTGGATATATATAAAACTCAACCATTTATAAATAAAAAAGAGATAGAATTTAACGAAATATTTTAAAAATAATTAATGTATCAAATATAAATATAAATTTGTTATTTAATAGAATTCTAAAATTTAAATTTGATAGTATTTGGTAATTATGGGATAAAATATTTAAAAATGTAGAGACCAATTTTAGAATTTCAAAAATTTAAAGATCAAATAGACGACAAAAATATATATATATATATATATATTTATAATTTAATCATATATTTAATAAAAAAAACCATCTGTTTAACCAAGTTCAAAAAATTTAATTAATCTAACTCAAACCAAGATTATTAAATTATTTAAGTTGGGTTAGATTTAAATAAATAAAAATTTTATGTGTTGAGTTGGTTCATGATTTCCAGTAGCAAACGAATCCATTATTAATATTTAGAAAATATATTTTTACTCCCGACACAATAATATATACATGTATTTATTTTATTTAATTTTATAATTTGCTATTATGTTTATTCGAAATTCTCCAAAGACTTTTAAAAATATTTTTAAACCAATATAAAGTAAGTTTTTTAAAAAGATATATTTTTAATTAAATATTAAAAATAAATAAATAAATATTTTACCAACTAACAATTTAAATAAACAATCCAACCACTCACTCGAGCAAATCAAGCTTAAAAAATTTATATAGAAATACAAATATATATTTTATATTTATATTTATCTCATTTGTGAGTTCTTGGGTGATTGCTTTTGATAGCAATAATTGAAAATGAAAAAAATTGGAGTAATATATATATATTTGTTTATTTATTTCTGGTGAGAATATTAATTAATGAATTCTTTACCTTCACTTGTAATTATCGATGCGGCCAAAGCGAAGCAGAACAAACACCTAACATCTATGGAAATTTGTTCATACGATGGTAAAAATAAATAAATGCGAAGAAATACAGATGGCAGCTAATTATGGTGTCCACGTCATCCATCTCGGAGGTATCAGCCATGGCAGAAGTACGGAAAACTGAAACTACTAACAAACACAGGAAAACGAAGCCGTCTGCCGGGAAAACCACTGCATATCGACGCAACACACGAAGGGGAAAGGAGATTACCAGCTGAAACGTCCGAGCTTCAACACAAAGGAACTGACAATAAACGGAGTCAATCGTTGGCAGTTTTCGTTTTATACGAATGAATTTCGGGCTGGAATTGGGAGGATTAGTTGGCAGGTGATATGGCGTTGCTGCGCAAATTGTTCTTCCGGAAGCCGCCCGATGGCCTTCTCGAGATCTGTGAAAGAGTTTACGGTACTGTCTTTCTGTCTTCTTTTTGGTTCGATTGATTAGGATTAGGCCCCCTTTTCTTATGGCCTGAAGAATGTATAAATTCTCATTCTCGATTGTTTTGATGTGAGAAGATGGGTTTTATGGTGCATCAGCTTGTCTTTTGCTTATTTTAGTGGTGAAATTTCTGATACGAGAAGGGAACTTTAGTACAAATGGGGAATGGAATCGAAAGAGAATGTTGTTTGCAGATTCCGTATCTCACAGTCTTCATTTCTCGCGCAATGAAGTTGAATAAGCTAGATTGAAGGACTTGAACCTATCACTACCGCTCTGGATGAGCGATTGATTAATTTGGAACCATTTCTAGGTTGGTTCTGTACAAGTCTGAAACGTTGCCTGATTTTGGTTCAGAATCTCTTGTTTATTTAATATGATGTAACCTTCAAACTTGAATATAAGAACGCACGGATCATATCTCTATCTGTATGCAGACGAGTTGGGAAAGATACTGTTTAACTTTATATTTGTCCAGAGAACTTGAAATTGAACTTCTGAACGATATTAGATTCAAATTTGAGACATGTTGCTATTTACTGGCTGACATGTACCTGTATTTTGTATTGCAGTTTTTGATTGCTGTTTTACCACAGATTCGTGGAAGGAGAAGAATTATGAAGCTTACTTATGTGGAATAGTTGCTCAACTCAGAGAGCATTTAGCAGATGCATCGTTCTTGGTATTCAATTTTAGGAGATTAGAGATGCAAAGTCAGATGGGCGATATCTTATCGAAGTATGATATGACCATAATGGACTACCCTCAGCAGTACGAGGGTTGCCCAGTTCTGACAATGGAAGTGCTTCACCATTTTCTAAGATCATGTGAGAGTTGGCTTTCCCTTGGACAAAATAACGTTTTGCTAATGCACTGTGAGCGTGGTGGTTGGCCAGTTTTAGCTTTCATGCTTTCGGCTCTCTTGATTTTTAGGAAACAATATAGTGGGGAGCAAAGAACATTGGACATGGTTTACAGGCAGGCACCGCGTGAGCTTTTACATGTTTTGTCTCCTATGAATCCAGTTCCTTCCCAATTAAGATATCTTCAATACATTGCAAGGAGGAATGTAGCCTTAGAATGGCCACCTATGGACAGAGCTCTCACTTTGGATTGTATCATTTTGAGATTTATTCCAAATGTTGATGGAGAGGGTGGTTGCCGTCCAATATTTCGAATATATGGACAAGATCCTCTGCTCGTCAGTGATCGAGCTCCTAAAGTTCTGTATTCAACTCCAAAAAGAAGTAAAAATGTCCGTTCTTACAAACAGGTGATGTGATCCCTTAATCTGTATTTGTTAGAATCACAAGTTGATTGAAAACAAACTTCATATTATTATTTCCCGAAGCATTAATTTTTCAAGTGATAAAGGGTTTGGATTCTTAATACATTGTTTTCTTCTTCCAATATGAACATAGCTAAGCGGTTAGAGTATATCTACTTTCTCTACGAGTTCGTACACTTGAATCCCCTATACACTTTGTAATATTCTTAAGAACAGCGTAAATTATTTTCTTCTCATAACATCATAGCTGGCCAAGTTGGAAATTCTGCAGCTTAGAATGGACATCCCATATTCTTGTAAATTTTTTAACCAAACTCTGTGCTTCTTAACTACTTTGTGCTGATCCTAATGTTCTCTCACTGCTGCCTATTTTAGGTTCAAATAAACTTTCAACATGATAACAAACAAAAAGTTGAAGTGCGATGATCATAAGCACCATTTTTTTTTTTTTAATTTAAATTTCTACTAGTTTTAAATAGGAGATTAACTTTGGGTTGCTCCATGGTTCAGTGGTAAATGAGCTATCTAGGCAATCAAGTTAGACCAGGAAGTTTTGAATTTATGATTTAATCTGCAAGAGAAATTCATTTCCTGTACTTTTCCTATGCTTTTGCCCTCTTGGCCTAGTCAAAAGTAAAGCCAACAGATTTGAAGTTAAGTTAAACACTTTTGTGTAAATACACTTAAAATCCCCGATGTTACCAGATGGTCAACCTTTTGTACCCTGTTGCAGGTAGAATCAGAACTGGTTAAGATTGATATTAATTGCCATATTCAAGGAGATGTTGTTCTTGAGTGCATCAGTTTGCTTGACGACATGGAATCTGAAGAGATGATGTTCAGAGCAATGTTTAATACTGCTTTTATTCGCTCTAATATCTTAATTGTCAACCGTGAAGAGATCGACACTTTATGGAACGCTAAAGATAAATTTCCAAAAGAGTTTCGAGCAGAGGTATGCTTGTTTTTCCTGGCATGATTATCTAGTACTGCCTCTCTTGCTTATTTTCTTTGGTCATCAATTGAATGTAGATTCTTTTCTCTGAGATGGATGCTGGAACTTCTACTGTTCCAAATGATATACTTTGCATTGAGGAGGATGGTCTCCCCATTGAAGCATTTGCTAAAGTACAAGAGATCTTTAGTCATGTGGATTGGTTAGATCCCAAAGCAGATGTTGCCCTTAATATGCTTCATCAGATGAATGCCTTAAACATAGCCCAAGAAAAGACAGACAATAATTCTCTTTGGAGTACACAATTTAGTTCTTTACTTCAGTGTACAAGTCCCAGAAAACTTCCGCAGAAGTTCACATTGGAGAACACACTCTTCCTAGAGAAGGAAGAGTCTGTTCCAACATCTAAGTTTTCTCCGGATGCTGCTAAAACTGAACAGAACAATGAACCTGATTCAGTATTCCAACAGGTGCCTCGATCTTCAGAGTCTTTCCCACTTAACTATGACATTTTGCAAGATTCGCGGAATTCAGAGAGAAGCAATAGGACCTCACACAGTGCTTCGGTTGGAAGCCACTCATTTCTTGATTCTGAAGGAGAAACAGAGGTTTCTCATCTGAAAACTGCATCTTCATCTTTTCCGAATGCAGCATTGGCTGTTTCTCTTGCACCTGAATCTCTTCGCACTAAAAGTTTCCTTACAGGGACAACCATGCCACCACCTCCTCCTCTCCCCCAACTTTCCATGGATATTTCTGTTGCTAATTCTGTACCTTATCCTTCCCCTCCTCCAACTGCATCAGCACTTCCGTCTAATAACTTATCAACTCTAGGACCAGATAAATCTTCTCTCACCGAGGAAAGAAAAATCTATTCGAAGGATCAAAGTCAGTTATCAACCATTGGCCCTCCCCTGTCTGTAACCTCAGCAACTGCACCCTTAGTGCCTCAACCACCACCACCACCTCCGCCTCCACCTCTTCCTATGACGTCTAAACAGGATGAAAGTACTTCAACATCTCCATTTGTTCCTCCTCCACCACCACCACCTCTTCTTATGACATCTATGCAGGTTGGAAGTACTTCAACATCTTCTTCTGTTCCACCTCCGCCCCCACCTCTTCCGTTTAGACAGGTTGAATATACTTCAACATCTCCATCTGTTCCCCCTCCTCCACCACCGCCAACTTCCACCACAGGCTCCTCTTCAGCTGTTCCTTCTGCTCCCCCTCCTCCTACCCTTTCTGGGAGAGGGACTTCAAAATCTGGTGAACTATGTTCTGATTCTCTTCTCGAAAATGGTTTGTCTAGGTGTCCTCCGCCACCAAATAGTTATCCATTAGGTATAAAGGGACGGAGTTTGTCACGCACGATAAATTCAAGATCACATATAACCAAGAAACTTAAGCCATTGCATTGGTTAAAGTTATCTAAAGCAGTGCAAGGAAGCTTATGGGCTGAAACTCAAAAAACTGGTGAAGTTTCCAGGTATGCCAACCCTTAATACTAGAGAAGTTTTGAAACAAGTCAAACAATGCTTCTGAACCAATCAAATTAATATTTTGTTGTAGGGCACCAGAGATTGACATGTCAGAGCTTGAAAGTCTTTTCTCAGCGGCAGTTCCTGCTCCTGATCTGCTCAAGAAGTCAGGTGGGCCTGGTTCAGTTGGGAATAAACCTGAGAAAGTACAACTGGTAATTAAAATCATCTAGCAGTTGATGCTGGGCATCATATACTTTAGAACTATCATCATTCTTGTGACGTCATTTCCTGTAGGTTATGAATTATTACGATAAAAACTATTACAACAGAGGGATGCATCTGGTGAATGACTGACAACGGATCATTTTAAGGACATTATGAAGTTATATAACAAACCAAACCATGTATACTGACAACATTTAGAGAACATTAAAAAAATTATGCAAAAGAAAACCTTTTTCCCAACATCATAGTCATGACTTCTGTTATTTTGAAACGTAGGCTTCGGACTTCAGTGTAGTCGGCCATCAGTGTAAGCAGTTGAAATGATTGCACTCAATCCTAGAATAGCAGCAATCATTTCTCTTCATTTATTCTAACTTTTAATTTTCTTAAAATTTATGTATTAAATGAAAGATTTTGAGAAAATTTCTGTTATTAAACTACTCGAATTCGAAGTATATACAGACTACTCCAAGTGAAAAATGTTTACAGACTAACAACCTAACACATAACCTGCTAACCAGCTTAATAACTTCCCAACTAAAATAACGAGTGAATAATTTCTAACAGTATACACTTTTCTGAAGCGGGTGCTGTTATAAATGAAAGATTTGTGGTTTTATTGAAGGCTAGTGTTCTTTATAGAGACATAAAAGGCCACCAGTGTTCTTCAATAATTAGATAACCACAATAATTGCAAATTTCATTAATATTATCCTTTCTGATATGGCTCCTTAAAAAGCATTCTTCAAAGTAATACAATTTTTTAAAAGAACGCTCATCACCTTTTAGATTGGGTGTAGTTGAAATAATTTACTACATGGTCAAATTAAGCACTGTGATGAGTGGCTATTCGATTACATGCATGCATCGCTTTTGAGACATCAGACTAAATTTAGTTAATATTTTATTTTGGAAAATAGAATTTAATTAATGAACTTAGAAAGATCGAAGAGACTTCTTGTGAGATTTGATATTTCTTTCCTTTAAGCTTCTTCTATATTATTGTAGATTTTATATCAAAAGAACAGATCATATGAATGAATACTGGTGTAACCAGTCATTTATGCAATTTAACCACTTATAATTCCAAATTCCCTCTGCTGTTGTCTGATTAACTATTTCCAATTTTTTGCCAATAGATTTTTATTTGAAATAGTCATTTTGGTAGCTTTTCCTACCAGTATCTTGTTGCTGACATTGTTTAAAAGCGCAAGTATTAGCTTGATTATTATTGCTTTCTGCTTCTCCTTCTAGTTATAATTAATATCAACTTTTTTGGGATTCCTTGATGTTCTGTTTGATTACCTGCTACTGTTACAGATTGATCATAGGCGAGCTTACAATTGTGAAATCATGCTTTCAAAGGTCAAGGTTCCTTTGCAAGATTTAATGGTAAGATGGTTTATATTTAACATGCTTATAAGATCTATATTTATATATCTTTCAATTAAGTAAAATATGCTTCAATTATCTAATCATCATTGCTACTTGATGTAGTGCTAAATGAATGATTGACGATGAAACCATGGAAGAATTGTCGCTCCATTGTTGTTTAGCAATGTTCTTGCTGCTCAACTTTAATAGATTTTACGATCTTTCTTCTATTGTTGGCTAGTGTATAGTTAGCATGAAACAAAATGAAAACTTTTTTAGGGTAATAAGAACCCTGGGTATAGAGTCAAGATGTTTGCCAATTATCATGATAGCAATTTTAATTCTATGCATTATGTTGTTTTTTTGTTAGTTTGAATTGTAGTATACCTCTTCTCCTGATGTTTGATGTTTGTAGTGGAAGATGACCTTTTTTTTTTTTTTTTGCTATTCTTCAATCAATGATAATTTGCTTTTTAAAAGAATTCGGCTAATTAGTATCGTTGATATTTGTGTGTAATGCACACTCAATTTTGTTTGGTAATTTATTCTTACTAATTAACCTTAAATAGTGTGCCTTCTTGGGTATTGGTGGCAGAGTTCTGTGCTTGACCTTGAAGATGCAGCGCTGGATATCGATCAGGTTGAGAATCTTATTAAGTTTTGTCCGACAAAGGAGGAAATGGATTTACTCAAGGTTGGTAAATTATAAAAAATGATAATCCTTGAAAGGTCTTGCATTCTCTCTCGGTGAAGGCACTATAGGCCTTGTTAATGCTAATAATTTAAGTACTTCTAAGTTTGGGATAAACTCAAGGGGTAAAGCGAACGATGGATAATTAATGCAGGCATGCTCATGTGCAGGGCTACACCGGAGAAAAGGAGAAGCTTGGAAAATGTGAACAGGTTCTTAAGGAAACTTTTTGGCATGGATGACATGTACATTGCATGTTTATATAACTGGTGCATGAAGAATGTAAAATCGTCTTTTAACCACATTTATCGTAATTTTATTACTGCTCAGAAGAGAAGCACGAAATAATACTGAATTGTCTTGAGGCAATTTCTTATTCTTCAATGGCAGTATGTGGATTATTGACATGGTGATCTACAACCTTTTGGTGAAAAATGTTTTCCACTGCAAATTACTTGGAATTTTTTCTGTTCAACTTAGATAAATTAATTCGCGACTTTGTTTCTTTGTTGATTAGTGAGATTTTTTTTCCTTTTTTTTTCTTTGTACGTTGTTAGCCTTAAATGCAAGAAACGTTCTGCTTCCATTTTTCTAATTCCTAATGGAATTTGACAGCAATCAGCTGAGAACTTTCCTTAGTTCTTTGAAAATAGCATATTGAGTTGAATTGGACCTTTTGTCTTTCGTTGTTTTGTTGTTAACCTTGTTTTCCCCCTCATATCATTGAAGTAAATATATTGAGTTAAATTTTTCATGTAGCGATGCTTGAAAACTTGTATTGCGTTTCCATATTTCTAATCTCATCCACTATCTGTCATTTTTGTTCAAACTGCACTGCTGATCAAATTTGGAAAATTACATTCTCCTTCTTCCTTTTTTCCTCATTTCTCTTTTTTTAATTAAAAAAAATTGGTTTTATGAGTTTAGAACGGACGAATGATATAATATTTTTTCTCACAGTTCTTCTTAGAGTTGATGCAAGTACCTCGTGTTGAATGTAAACTTCGAGTTTTCTCATTCAAGATGCAGTTCAGCTGTCAGGTCAATAGCCTTACCTGCCACATCCACACACGCACGAATATGTAGATAATCTTTAACCATCCCTGTTGTTGGTCATGCAGGTCACTGACCTCAAAAAAAGCTTGAACTTTGTTAACTCTGCTGCAGAAGAGGTAATTTCTGCCCATGGTTCTATGATATGGATTTGGGATCTCGTTTCTCTTTTCTGATATCTTTATTTCAGATAAAAAGTTCAGTGAAGTTGAAGAGAGTCATGCAAACAATACTATCTCTAGGAAATGCTTTAAACCAGGGAACAGCGAGGGGTTAGTTGATGTTGCATCTATATTTTCTCTGAATTCAGTCTATTACAGCCATTTGTTTACCATCATGAAGACAGTACATGAATTTATCTGAACATTTTAAACTTCTTGTTTTAGAATCATTAAAAATTTGAAAACTGACTTCCAGAGGTCTTTTAATTTGAACTCCCTTTCTTCTTTTGTTTGCTATAAACCATTTCCACAATAATATCTTTAATTTGTACTTGCATTAAATTGAGTTTTCTCCCTTCTCCCCTTTCTCTGTGTAGAAAGATTATCACCCATGCTAACTGAAATATTTCTTTTATAATCGTCTCATTGACTTCATCTACTCATTGTTGTTGTTCCTTTTCAGGCTCTGCTATAGGATTTAGGCTGGATAGCCTTCTTAAACTGACAGAAACTCGTGCACGAAACAACAAGATGACTCTAATGCATTATCTTTGCAAGGTGCAACTTGTACTGTCTATTGCTTAATGAGCATGATCTACATTTTGTCGTTTTACAACTTTACGTTGACTATCAGCTGTCAGGGCATAATATACAATACGTATCGCTTTTTAAACACATTTCCTTTAGTCTATGTGAAAGTTTCCATGACCAAGGACATAAAAACTTGACGCCTTCTGTAAAGCAATCAAGAATGGACGATAACGACACCTAAAATCAGGAAAGGAGTGGCATGAGATTAATTGAGAGACTGTTATGGGATTTGAAAATTACGGTGATGCTTGAGTTTTTCAATTTTATCTCGGGTAGTAAAAATTTAGAGCTAGTTGTAAAGACAATAATATAATTGAAGTGGTTCCATGATGATCTCAAGCTGAATTTCTTTGTTCTTACTTTAGGACCCGTTGATGGTTATTGGAGAGAATTAAGCCTCTTGTGTGCTTTATAACCTCTTGAAAATCTCCTTAACTATAGTAGTTCATTTCAGGCATATTTTCTTTATCTTCGTTTCTGAGTTTATTATTTATTGACAAGTGTAGATACTTGCTGACAAACTGCCAGAAGTTTTGGATTTTTCTAATGATCTTGCAAGCTTGGAGCCTGCATCAAAGGTTTTATCTCTTTTAGTTGGTTTTGGTCCTTTTTTTTCTTCTTAGTGCATGTGTGTGTGTGTTTTTTGGCTGTGAGGGGGTTGCCTCCCTGACTGAGACAGGTTCGATTTCCGTCCAGGTACAATTGAAGATTTTGGCAGAGGAGATGCAAGCAATTAGCAAAGGGTTGGAGAAAATTGTTCAAGAATTGTCTACATCTGAAAATGATGGCCCTATATCCAATAATTTCCGAAAGGTATTAAAGCTCACTGATTTAAGTTACCCATCTAATTTACTTAGAATTATGTTCCTTGAGCTAGGAACTTCTGCTATCACTTGAAAATAATTCTTTTCATTTCTTAGATAAGTTTTATCAGTGCTCTGTTGACTTCATTACCTCCCCTCTCCCCCGGTTGTTCAGGTTTTAAAGGAGTTCCTTCGTTTTGCTGAAGCTGAAGTCAGAACTTTGGCTTCGCTATACTCTAGCGTGGTAGGTGCTGCTTCTTGGTGCATCTCTTCAAATTTTGATCCTCTACTTGGGTTCGATTATTGCTTATCTGGAACTTGATACTTTGCAGGGTAGAAATGTAGATTCTTTGATTCTTTATTTTGGAGAAGATCCAGCTCGCTGCCCCTTTGAGCAAGGTATTTGTTCATTATGAGCAGAAACAATGTATGAGATGTTAGCCGTAGATGACTCCTTTTTAGTGTCGTTGTTGGTCTAACCCCTCTCCCCCCACTGCAGTTATGTCAACCTTATGCAACTTTGTGAGTATGTTTAACCGAGCCCACGAGGAAAACTGCAAGCAGATAGAGCTTGAATTGAAGAAAGCAACTGAAAAGGAAAAATCAAAGACGGGGCACTTGCACAAAAAGACGAGGACGAAGAAGTTATCACGCTCCCAGGTTGAGATTGGCAATGTCAAGTAAGTTAGCATGTCAAGTTCCTTCAAGTAAGCCCTCCAGATCTACAGACATCCAACACAAGCAATTAGTTCTAGTGGGAAGTGTACCACTCCTTCATGAGGTAACATTCTTAACCCGGTTTCATGGCGCTTTCGTCGTCTATCGACATCTCAAATTCATAGCTTTGTTTCTCTCCATATATTCAACAGCCTTTTGAGCTTTAACATTGCTAGATGGTATCGTTATTTGCACTGCAGCAACCCGGGCCGATCAAGCTTCATCCTGTTGCTCAATGCACTGAGCAGGCTGGCTGCTTGTATCAAAACTGAACAAATTCTTGTGTGTACATAATCATCCGGGGATACAAGAAAGTCACCTTTCAAGGTTGCTTTATAATTTGAAGATCCCCTGACATTCTTTTGTTTTGGAACAAAAATTCATCCAGATGTGTATTTAGCTATACCATTATTTAAAGAAAATTTTGAGTTGTGTTATGCCTATTTACACCTCAGTTTTTGCTCAAAATTTTCTCCTACCTGATCATTCATTTTATTTCTATATTATGATCAACACTTTCTCTAGGGATAAGAATGTCTTTTCCTACAATGTTTCTACATTCATAAGAGATTGTATTTTACCTTATTTCTCCTCGTCTCCATCCTTGTTAAATCATTAACCGATTTCCCCGAAAAATATATTTATTGTAAAGAAAGGCTTAGAATCGCATAAATACATTATGAATTTTGATTTTTTTTTTTATTTGTGTTGAGAAATTTTAAATTTCTAATATTTCGATATATGTGTTAATTAGCTAAGCAACATAAAGTTAGAGTAAATTGATGATATAGAATATATCGATTAAAGTATTGTTATTGAATTATTTATAGCTTGTATTTTGTGGTGATTAAAAAAAAAAAACTATTATTTTTTTAAGTTGAAGCATATGCATGGATTTTTTTTTTTTAAAAAAAATAATATACATTTTATTTTCATTATTTATAAATATAACTTAACTAAGCTCATTAATCAATATTTGTAAAATATAACTGATTAAACATACCTTCTATTTCTATATACCAAACCATTTAAATATTTTAATTATATCAGAAATATTAAAATAAGATTTAAAAAATCGAGCCACTCATTATCTGAATTTTAAGAGAAAAAATAAAAAGGAAATGCTAAAATGGTCCAGCTGTTACAAGCGTATAAAACCCCGGTCGTTTCTTCTTCTTCTTTTACAGCCACGTCACGGAATACAACTGCTTAAAAGCATTTGCGTTGCTTTCATTCCAATGGCAGAGGTGCAGAGCTGAGGCCCCGTCCTGCCACTGCACGGTTCGTTTCATATTCTTCGCTTATCTGCATATCTTTCTCGATTCCTTCACGCCGTTCTGTTGACAGGTGAAAGAGTTTTTCGAAGGCTTCATTTCTGTAATTTTATTTTGTGGTCTCTGTACTCTGCTTGTGCTTTGATTCTATTATAGTCGTTTCTTCTTCCTCATGGATTCGTATTTTGGTGCTCCATGCATAGCGCGTATGAGAATCGACATGTAAGAGACGTTTCATGCATTTAGCCGACGATAACTGAACTTCCTCTTTGCTTTGGATGTTATGAACTTCTCGTTTTGATATGGTAGACTGTTTCGCTGTTATTCTGTAGCTTCCTTGTTCATGGCGTCGGAGAGAACTTACAGTAGTGGATGTGTTTGAATGCGAGCATCACGAGCATTTTGAGAATTTTTCTTTGGCTGACTAGTACTGTATGGCTGTTCATGGAAATAACTTGAAAAAACAGAATGAAAAGAAAAAACATGGAGAAGATTTAAGTATTAACATTATTTTTTACTGAAAACGGCTTAAATAAACTTTAGTTTCCTTCACAATATTTTCGAAAATCATATTTCATGTGGTTTACGCTTTGCGTGTAAATGTTTTCATAGGTGGCTGAGTTTCATGGATGTTGTTCATAGCTTTATTCAATCCACTCTATGCTTTTTGCTTTCCGCTTTTGTATTAACTCTCTGATTTTCTAAAGGAAAATCTTTTCAGTTATTTGCATGTATTGATAATAGTTATTTTAACAATACTATCGTAGGAGAGAAAATAAACTTCGAATATGTGTTAGCGATTAGTTTGCATTTTCTAACTAATTTAGTCGGTTATCTGATGGCAGAATTTGCGCTGTGTATAAGGTTCGAGAAGCTTTACTTCTCTCTATTTTCACGTCTGTAGATGATATTTGATTTCACAAAAAATAAAATAAAATAAAATGATCCACTGATTGACGAATTTTGATTCTTCAATTTTTGCCTTCGTATGGGGACAATAATGAACCGGAGTCTATTACCCCTTTTCTTACAGTAATTGAATAGTTATGCTGGTTTAGTTCTTTGATTGGAGGGTCGTAGAAGAGGACAGAGCAGAGAACAAAGTAATGAAAATTCTTCAAGAGTCCCATCTATATCATCTTGCTTATCCTGATAAGTTGTAATGCATTTATTTCCTAATACTGACCAAGATTTGAGTAAATGGGAATTGAAGCGTTGACAGAGCTGGGATTATTTCATCTAGATTTGTATGGCTGTGCTACTAGAGAAATTCAAAGAATAGATAGGCACGCCATGGAGCAACTTTCCCAAGCTTTTACTTCCATTTATATATTATGGGTTATTGCTCTCTATCAACTGTATCACGTATTGATATTTCAGTGTCAATGTAATTTCTCCTTTACATAAGATGCCTAGAAAGCTGTTTGTCCATTAGCCTATTTATTCATGGTTTTTTTAATCTATTGTTAACATCAAGTTTCCAATGCTAGTACATGGAGAATCTCAGGGTCATGAATGGTGGAGATATTCCCTTTGATGTTTTATCTCGGTTGCCAACGAAGACTCTTGTTGAAATGAGGTCCGTTTCTAAAGGGTGGCATGAACTTATTTCAGACCGCTCATTTGTACAAGCTCAGTTCCAGAAGACTGGATTGACGTTATCTGGTTTCATCTTTCAAGAGAAATACCAAAAATGCCTTGACGATATAAAAACATTTAGCTATATGCCAGTAAATGCAGATTCTAAGGTGCAGAAAATGGTCCTTGGTTTCCTGCCCGAGGATGTTGTCATTTTGGCATCCTGTAATGGCCTGGTTTGTTGTAGAAGTTGCTTCCCCACACAACGCCCTACAATAATCTACGTCTGCAATCCTTTGTTTGAGAAGTGGGTGAGTTTTGAAGTGGCTCAGCTGGACAGGTTCAGCAACATTGTTCTAGCATTTGATCCCATCCTGGACCCTGTAAACACTTCAACGAATTTCAGAATAATTAGAATTCAGCAGTTGGAGAATGAGCAAGAGGAATTGCACTACACGTTTAAAATATACTCTTCAAAAACAGGAACCTGGAAGGAATCAAATGAAGTATGCTATTCAAAGGGCAACTTGTTGAAGAACAAAGGCATTTATGCTAAAGGGATCTTACATTGGCTTACTGATACGGATCAAATCCTTGCATTTGATACAGAGAAAGAACTATCTCTGTTGATTTCATCTCCAATTCCTGTCTTGGAATTTTTCATCAATGTCCCTGGAACATGCATTGGAGAATCCATGGGCTTACTACATTTCATCATGATCTGTGAAGATGGAATTATTGTTTGGTATCTGGAAGACTATTTTGAGACAAAATGGATGCTCAAACATTCAAAACGTCTCCAAGTGATTGAGGAAGAGAATCCAAGAATATTTTTCAAGTTACACAAGAGCATGCAACAGAAACTGGTTGCGGGTATGGATCCATTGATGGATCCCTTAGCATTTAAAGATGAGGTCTTATTGATGAGGGTGTATTCAACAATCTATTTCTACCACACTGAAACAGGCAAGGTGATGGAAGTCTGTAACGTTGCCAGTTTGGGTCCAAACCCCTATGTTGATCCTTCAGTGATTCCTTATTCGTTGAGCTTGGTTCCCTTGAACGTTTCTCTCTCACGTTTTGACTCAAACAGCAACATAAACCCCAGCGAGAACTAGTAATCCACTGATGTCTTCCCATTTGGGCAATAGATAGCTAATAAGCTTTTCTCTCTTTTCATTGGAATATGATGGGGTAGGATTTTGGATATAATTGACAAAGTTTAGGCTACAGAACACTTTTTATTCCTATGGCAGCCATAGGGCGTGAAGTTGCATGTTATTTCCCTTCTATCTTGGGAAGTTATATGAACTATTCAAGGGACAAATATACTGTCTACATGACCTTTATTTCCGTCAGGACTCGGAATATCTACACCGTCCATTCAATTTTTCCTTAATTTGTCATTCATTGATAAAATTATTACCATCTATCAAATAATCATCGTTTTTGTGCGGTTCTGTAAGTAACAGTTGGCTTTGGAATGGCAAAACTGGATTCCTTTCTCTGCACAAGTTCAGAATCTTGGCATGAAATGAGCTTTGAGGTAATCCTGATAACTTTATATTTAGTACATTTTTTCTTTCAATTGGTAAGTGGGGATTTCAAGTCAATTACAGCAGTTACTGGAGTAAATATATGTGTTTGGGAATTTCTTTCGTCATTGTGATACGTGTATCAGTGTTGGATGGTTACATTAGAAGATTTCCCATATGCCCTTTTAATAATGCTTTTATTCATGAAGTTGATCGGTTCAGTTGCTTATAATAAACTCACGATTTTTTTTTTTTTCAGCTTTTGTTTTTCCCAAGACGGTTGGCATGCTTCAGAATGAAAAGTTCCTTTGTCTTCATGAGGTAACATTCTTAACCCCTGTTTCTCAGCGCTTTTACCTATCCACCTCCCAAATATTTATATCTTCCTCTCTCTCTATCTCTTAATTTAATATATTCTTAAAGGTTTCTCATTTTGCTATCCCCCGACCTAAGAAGAATTTTGTCCCGTCCTTGTTCCATATTTTTGGATGCGAAATTAGGTCGGATGGATAAAGAATTCCGATCGATTTCTCATTCCGAAATCTATCGTAGATAAATTGAAGATTGAAAATTTAGCCATCTTTAAATCTAAGAATCCATCTCTTTGGGAATATAACTAGCAATGGGGAAATGGCAAAGATACTTCAAAGCTCAATGTTTTTGTTGATTCCTACCTTCTTTCAAAAGTTATAGTTATTTTTTAAAAAAGCATTATTAAATATCTAAATGTCTAAATATTTACTTTAATAGTTAGTAATTTATTTAATAAGCCGCAGGTTTGGATCGTTTTCCAAACAATATAATACAATATTCTCAAATAGTGGAGTGATTAGAATTTTATTCTTTTTAAACAGACTGCACTTTACCTTATTCATTTTGGGCAAAGAGGTCTAATATTACGCAACTGCTGGGCTTGACAGCAACTGTGGAAATATTCTTTTTTTTTTTCTTTTTTTTTTTATTGAATTGTTTGAAAATAAACAATAGCCGTTTGGCCCATTTTTCATTAGAGTTTTGACTTTCTTGGAATTTGAAATTACAATCCCAATTTATATAAAATTTCAAAAGATAAAAATTTTAG